TCTGTGTGTGTGTCTGTGTGTGTGCGTGTGTATGTCTGTGTGTCTGTGTCTCTGTGTGTCTGTGTGTGTGTGTGTGTCTGTGTGTGTCTGTGTGTCTGTGTGTGTGTGCGAGCTCTATTTCTGTGGAGAATCGCCACGAGGCCGTGGTGACTTCTGAGTCGCGAGCCACAGCCGAATGGCTCTCCCCTCACCTCCCCCTCCACGTGCTTTGTTCCACGCAGCGCACGTGGAGTGCGATCATACGCACGTGGAGAGGGCAGGGAAGAGGGGTTGGATGTGGTGGCTCGCACACCCTTTGAGGATCACATCGCCAACCAGTGGCGGCTCCTGTAAAATCTCTCAGGGGGGGCAAATGTCTGGATGATTGATAAGGATAAGGTCCACCCATGCAATGGATAAATTAACAGCTTAAGCATATAAAGGCAACTTCACTTTTTTAATATGAATGAAAAATAAAGTGACTCTTACAATACATCTTGTTTGTTTCTATACTCACTATTAAAATAAACCACTCAAGTTTATTTTATTAAAGATTCCACTAGGTGGCAACAAATTATATTGTTGGATGAAACGTGCTTACGTATGATGACGTAAGCACGTATGATGACGTAAGCACGTTAGGGCGAGCCCTCCCGGAAGCCATACAGAATGCATTGCAGCGCCCCCGTTCGAAAAAAAACATCTTTGAATGTAAGTCTATGGGGCCACTCTGGGCGATTCTCAGCTGGAGGGAAATCGCCCAAAAAGCGGCGGTACTACACAGAACGTAGCATGACGCTGATTGGACTATATCCAGAGGCACAGTGACGGCTAGCGTGACTCTGTGGTTGAATGACATTGGTGGTGCGTCGCCCAATCGCCCTAATGAAGAAACCGCCCCTGTCGCCAACGCACTGTGCTCAGATGTATTTAATGTTCTCTCGCCAGTATTTGAGGGCCTTGAATGGACTTCCTCCTCCCCGCGACAATCACGACCTTGAGCCAACGAATGGATTCCGTGGAGATCCTCGAATTGGATGAAGCTAGTGCGGGGCCTGTAGTGTATGATGTTATAAAGGGGCCCTAAATAAATAAATGTAAATATTAAAACACAAATTGTTTACTTGCGTAGTAAAGTAATTGTACTTTTTTGATTCGCTATACAGCGCAGATGATACGGCAAATCGCTAACGTTAAACACCCGGTCGTTCGTAAAAGTTGAAGGCGGTATAGTACTTTAGTGATAGAGCAAGTGCAGAATCACTGAACCGGAATTGATAGCTTGAAAGCGTTTAGCGCGGGGCCCTTGAAAGTACGCGACCCGTAGCTACTACTACATATGTAGTAGTTACTACTACATGTGTAGTAGCTACTACATGTGTAGTAGCTACTACTACATGTGTAGTAGCTACTACTACATGTGTAGTAGCTACTACTACATATGTAGTAGTAGCTACTACGTACTATGTAGTAGCTACTACACATGTAGTAGTAGCTACTATGTATGTAGTAGCTACTACTACATATGTAGTAGCTACTACTACGTATGTAGTAGCTACTACTACGTATGTAGTAGTAGCTACGTATGTAGTAGTAGCTACTATGTATGTGAAGTACCGGTGAGGACGCTTGACACCGAGGTGGAGGCACACGTGTATTTATTTTACAGTACAACAGTGGGCATATAACACTCGAGGGGGTATCGGCCCCCTCACCCGTATAACTGGGAATACACCCCTAGCTATCCCTGTCCTACCCCCGAGTCCTCCACTAACGGGCTAGGGGAGGCTATCTGGCCCGACACTGGTAAGTCGGGCCCGGTACCCGGAGTCCCAGACCAGCTCTTACAAGAGCACCGGCTCTGGCTTTCGGGACCACGCCGCTGGCTCAGTCCTGTTCGGCCCTGATAAGGACATCGAACTAGGGGAGTCCAGGGCTCTATCTAAGACGTCTTCAGTCTTCTCTGGTTAGCTTTTAACTCTACTCCCGAGCCCTTTGATACATCCCCTTTTATACCCAACCCCTCCCTGAGGGGTGGGGCCCCGGGGGATCATAACGTTCGAACCAGCCCCCCCCCAGGGTGCCTGGCTCGGACGTCGTAGAGGGCACCTCCCCGTGCACTTACGTAGCCCCGCCCACTGTGTTTGTTTGCCATAGGCTGCCATGCATAACGGCTCTCTCTCTAACACCCCTACATATGTAGTAGCTACTACTACATATGTAGTAGTAGCTACTACGTACTATGTAGTAGCTACTACACATGTAGTAGTAGCTACTATGTAGTAGCTACTACAAGCGTTGGGTTTTCTCCCCCCCCCCCTCCCCCGTACGACCGGCTCCTTCTTAATTGGCCGGGCGACGCCTTCGTACGCAGAGGATCGCAGAGCTTGGGGCAGCGGTGAGCAGCGTGCTTGTTGCGATAATCCGCGGGCGGGCACCGTACCCTGGAGCAACCTCTAGTCCACATCGCGCGCCCTTGAGCCACGCTTGCACACTTGCACACTTGCACACTTGCACACTCTCACACTTGCACACTCTCACACTTGCACACTTGCACACTCTCACACTTGCACACTCTCACACTTGCACACTTTCACACTCTCACACTTGCACACTTTCACACTCTCACACTTTCACACTCTCACACTTGCACACTTTCACACTTTCACACTTTCACACTTGCACACTCTCACACTTGCACACTCTCACACTCTCACACTTGCACACTCTCACACTTGCACACTTTCACACTCTCACACTTGCACACTTTCACACTCTCACACTTGCACACTTTCACACTTTCACACTTGCAAACTCTCACACTTGTACACTCTCACACTTTCACACTCTCACACTTGCACACTTTCACTTTCTCACACTTGCAAACTCTCACACTTGTACACTCTCACACTTGTACACTCTCACACTTGCACACTTTCACACTCTCACACTTGCACACTTGCACACTCTCACACTTGCACACTTTCACACTTGCACACTATCACACTTGCACACTTGCACACTCTCACACTTGCACACTCTCACACTTGCACACTTGCACACTCTCACACTTGCACACTTTCACACTTGCACACTTGCACACTCTCACACTTGCACACTTGCACACTCTCACACTTGCACACTTTCACACTTGCATACTTGCACACTCTCACACTTGCACACTCTCACACTTGCACACTTGCACACTTTCACACTTGCACACTTGCACACTCTCACACTTGCACACTTGCACACTCTCACACTTGCACACTTTCACACTCTCACACTTGCACACTCTCACACTTGCACACTCTCACACTTTCACACTTTCACACTCTCACACTTGCACACTTGCACACTCTCACACTCTCACACTTGCACACTCTCACACTTGCACAATGTCACACTTTCACACTTGCACACTTGCACACTTGTACACTCTCACACTCTCACACTTGCACACTCTCACACTTGCACACTTTCACACTCTCACACTTGCACACTTGCACACTCTCACACTTTCACATTCTCACACTTTCACACTCTCACACTTGCACACGTTCACACTTGCACACTTGCACACTCTCACACTTGTACACTCTCACACTTGCACACTTTCACACTCTCACACTTGCACACTTGCACACTATCACACTTGCACACTTGCACACTTTCACACTCTCACACTTGCACACTTGCACACTTGTACACATTCACACTTGCACACTTGCACACTTTCACACTCTCACACTTGCACACTTTGACACTTCCACATTCTCATACTTGCACACTTGCACACTCTCACACTTGCACACTTGCACACTTTCACACTCTCACACTTGTACACTCTCACACTTGCACACTTGAACACTTTCACACTTGCACATTTGCACACTTTCACACTTTCACACTTGCACACTCTCACACTTGCACACTCTCACACTTGCACACTTTCACACTTGCACACTTGTACACGCTCACACTTTCACACTTGCACACTTGTACACTCTCACACTTGCACACTCTCACACTTGCACACTTGCACACTTGCACACTCTCACACTTGCACACTTGCACACTTTCACACTCTCACACTTGCACACTCTCACACTTGCACACTTGCACACTTGCACACTCTCACACTTGCACACTTGCACACTTGCACACTCTCACACTTGCACACTTTCACACTTTCACACTTGCACACTTGCACAATCTCACACTCTCACACTTGCACACTTGCACACTCTCACACTTGCACACTCTCACACTCTCACACTTGCACACTTGCACACTCTCACACTCTCACACTTGCACACTTGCACACTCTCACACTTTCACACTTGCACACTCTCACACTTTCACACTTCCACACTCTCACACTTGCACACTTTCACACTTGCACACTCTCACACGCACAGAGGTAGGCGGTGGGAGAGGGGGGCGTGGAGGGTGTGGGAGGTCAACGTTTGGCGGACACGCGCACGGAGTGAGCTCGGTAGATAAACGAAGAAGGGGGGGGTGGGGGTTGGGGGGAAATAATATTTTAATGAAAATATCCGTCCGATTTCCATCGCCACTTCAGAAGATGAAGAGGACGAGGGAATGACGCTGACGCCCTCCCCGCCTCCTCAAAGGGCACTCCGCTTGTGTTGTTCAGGAGGCATAGGGGAAATGGGGATTTCCTCGCCGGCGGTTTCTATGAAGAGGGCCGGCTAATCCTTTCTCAATATTTGGTTTTCGTTGTCACGAAGACAAAAAAACAAACACGCGCGCACACGCACGCCATGAAAACAACATGTCTGGGGGTGGGTGGTTTTGTCGTGTGTGTGTGTGTTGGAGCGTGATTGTTACCCACACGGCCAAATCTCGCTCGCTCGCTCTCTCTTGATTGATGATTTGTTTCCGTGCGTGATTAATCAGGCCTACGTGTCAACGCGGCCGTCAGATTTATATTACAACAATACATAGCCCACGGAACTTTCCACTAAATTTGAACTTCGATTACAAGCCGTTCGCACCAGCGCGTTAAGGGAGCCTCCCGCGAACTCGCACTCCATTGGCACGTTGGGAGAAGGTTTGAGAAATGTTTTCTGTTGAGAATCCTGCCCCAACGATGATGCGTATCTGTGCGTTGGTGTTAGAGGGTGGTGGGTGGTGGTGAGTGAGCGAGTGGATGGGTGGGTGGGTGGGGGGGTGAGTGAGTGAATGGGTGAGTGTGTGGGTGAGTGAGTGGGTGAGTGAGTGAGCGAGTGGATGGGTGGGTGAGTGGGTGGGTGAGTGAGTGGTTTAGTGAGTGAGCGAGTGAATGGGTGAGTGAGTGAGTGGGTGAGTGAGTGTGTGGGTGAGTGAGTGAGCGAGTGGATGGGTGGGTGAGTGGGTCAGTGAGTGAGTGGGTTAGTGAGTGAGTGAGTGAATGGGTGAGCGAGTGAGCGAGTGGAGTGAATCGTCGTGCTGGATCATCAATCGCCCCGAATCCAGCTACCGCAGCTGCGCAGACAGCAGCTACCAGCAGCATCAGCAAGAGCAGCAGCAGCAGCTAGAGCAGCAGCTGGAGCAGCAGCAGCAGGAGCAGCAGCAGGAGCAGCCGCAGCAGGAGCAGCAGCTGGAGCAGCAGCAGCAGGAGCAGCAGCAGGAGCAGCAGCTGGAGCAGCAGCAGCAGCTGGAGCAGCAGCAGCTGGAGCAGCAGTAGCTGGAGCAGCCAGCAGGAGCAGCAGCAGCTGGAGCAGCAGGTAGCTGGAGCAGCAGCAGTAGCAGCAGGCAACGCAGCAGCAGCGGAGCAGCAGCAGCAGTGAGCAGCAGTAGCTGGAGCAGCAGTAGCAGCAGCAACAGCAGCAGCAGCTGGAGCAGCAGCAGCAGCTACGGCAGCAGCAGCTGGAGCAGCAGCAGCAGCAGCAGCTGGACTAGTGGTGAGTGTAGTAGTGGTGAGTTACTAGTGGTGAGTGTAGTAGTGGTGAGTGTACTAGTGCTGAGTGTACTAGTGGTGGGTGTAGTGGTGAGTGTGTAGTGGTGGGTGTAGTGGTGGTGAGTGTAGTGGTGAGTGTGCTAGTGGTGAGAGTAGTTGTAGTGTTTGTCTGTAATAAGGTAGGGCACTGATAAGGGTTTGCGAGGTATGGGCCGTCCATAAATGACGTCACAAGATTTTGGACGATTTTTGACCCCCCCCACTTCGTCAGACCCCCCTCAAATATGACGTCACAAAGCTCTGCCCCCTCCCCCCCAAAATAAAACATGCTTAAATCGCTTTAAACTATTGTCATTGTAGTGCGTATTAATGTGGCGCTGCACTCTGATGTTGTAGGAGAAAACATTTATTAAAAAGTCTATTTAATTACGTAGAACGTGTTGTCAATATTTATTTAAAGTTGTTGCATTTTTATGTAACGTCACATTTCTCAAACCTCCCCCCCCTCGTCTCACATCGTTACAAATGTCTGACCCTCCCCCCCCAGGTGCGTGACGTCATTTATGGCCGGCCCCATAGCGTGCTCTCGTGGCAACTCAGACACAGTGCGCTACTTGATGTTACTGCTTGCTGGGGCGTTGTCAATGGTTACGCTGACGCAATTGTTTTTTAAATTGAAACAAACCCCAAGAATATTGGTCAGTAGCATAACGGCCTTAACTGAAATATAGATGTCGCCGGCGACGTTTCAGACAATGTCCCTTCTTCAGAGCAGCTGCATAGAGAGGGCTGAGTGTGAACGACGATACGATTTGGAGACTTTATGGGGGTGGTCTGATGCGACTGGCCTCACTGAGCTCCGGCCCTAAGGCAGTGGAAAACCTCCTACGCATTTCACAAGTAGTACAATCGCATGTCTGCATTTGCCATAAATATGCTAAATTCCTCTTGATATGCAAATAATTTTGTCAAAGCGCTCTTCCCCCCTCCATCCCAGCTTAAATAGACGCTCCAAGCCTGTGGTGT